CCTCTTAAACCACCGCGCCAGCAACATTCTTCTACGGTTGTTCGCTACAGAGGCCTCAAGGTCAGATCTGGAAAATAGGTCGGATCATGCGATGGCAAAATTCTCGGGGTACAGGCAGTGGGGTGACACGTATTCGATACAGAGACAACTTAAGCAGTCCAGTTCTCTGGGTGAATTGGATCCGAAAGCTGCAGAAATTTGCAGAACCTGGAGGACAATATCGATGTGTACCCATGGCAGGACCTGAACCTAGAGGACGTTTCAACTCCTCCCATCCAATACATCATTTCTAGCGTCAACAACGGCAGCGTGTCGGACGATTTCGTCTCAACTCAGATTTCCCGAGACGGCTCTTGAACTAGAAGCTCTAAAGGTGCACAAACCTCAACCACATCAACAAGTCCACGTCCAAATCCTCAAAACCAACCTTCACCAGGACATCCACGCGGTGCCCAATCTCGTCGCCGCGCCGTCACTCTACAGTCCCTCACTGCTGCCGGAAGCTCCGGACAAAACCCATCTCCATCGCCTCCAGTTTTCTCCTCCGCAGATTCCTCCGCTTACTGGTGGTTCTTCCCCTGCTATACGTCTCTGGCCTGCTCATGTGTGTGGGCCCGTTCTCTGGTCTAGTGGGTCATACCCCTCTTCCCGGTTCCGTTTACCGCAGTCACGAGATGTTTCAGCTGCTCTGGCCTCACATTCAGGCCGATAACTCGACTCCGATTGAGTTGTCCTCTGTATGGAGATTCAGAAGGAAGTTGAAAGAGCAGAAGCCTTGCCCACCTTCAGCTTCTGGACTACAATTAGATTCCCCAGGCCTTACTGGTTACTTAATTGGGGAGGTTAATGGTGGCCTTAACCAACAGCGCTCTGCGATTTGCAATGCTGTGGCCCTTGCTGGTCTTTTGAATACAGTTCTGGTTATTCCTCGCTTTGAATTCCATAACGTTTGGAGGGATACAAGCACGTTTACTGATATATACGATGAAGATCATTTCATAGCCACCCTTGAAGAAATCTCCAGCCAAATTCAAGATCAAGCCTCGAATGGCCCTTGGATCGACATCTACAATAAGGGACTTCAAAACGTATCTCCTACACGTGACAAGCACATGTATACGACGTGCCTTGAAGTGGGGGCATTTGTAGACATCGAAATTTCGTAAATAAATGTTGACCGATAAATCAAAGTGTCAACGCTCATGTATTACATAAATTTTACACGTAGCGTGTGACTCAACGAAAAATTGAAATGAGTTGGAAAAGTCATCAAACAGGACACGTGTCAACACCTGGCAGAAACGACTTATTTCATCTGGGATATTATATTCAAAATTAGGCCTTGGAAAATTCTATAAATACAAGCCCATTTCATTCATATGGGGAGGGACTAAAATCATTATGCAAAATTCTTGAAGCTCTGAAACTCCGAAGCTCCGAAGCTCTCAAGCATCCAGGTTCCCGAAGAATCAAGAAAGCTCTATTCGTTCTTCGTTCATCGTTCATCCTAAGATCAAGCCCCAACGGCCCTTTGGATCAACAATCATCCACCAATTCAAGATCAAGCCCCGACGGCCCTTGGATCAACCATCCACCAATTCAAGATCAAGCCCCGACGGCCCTTGAAGAAAGGACCATCGTTCATCATCCGTTCATCCAAGATCAAGCCCCAACGGCCCTTTGGATCAACAACGTCGACAAATCCACACATCCAACCGTTCTTCAAGATCAAGCCCAAAAGCCCTTGGAGATCCGTTCATCACTGTTCTTCAAAGATCAAGCCCAAAAGCCCCTTTGAAGATCCGCTCAAATCCACCTTCAAGATCAAGTCCACGACCCTTGAAGAACGTTCATCCTTAGATCAAGCCCAACGGCCCTTTGGGTCAATCACACATCCACAAATACACTTTACGGAGATCGAATCAGATGATCAAAATAGAGAGAGATTGTAACCCAAAATCATCAAATACAAATATTTGTTTGTGCACGTCGTTCTTGTCTCTTTCGTTTCAGGAAATTTTCCGTGTTCACAAATATCATGGGATGATTATCGAAGCATTCATGATTGATTATGATAGAGTTTATCTTCAATTGGGTTTATGGAATGTATTAAGATAGGATTTAGTAATTAATCCCATTTTAGGATATTTCGTGGCCATAACCTTTTTAGGGCTTCTCAAAAGATCTTAAGACTATTTTGTAAGAAAATCAAAGCCAAGTAAAGTCTCTAGGTTAAATTTACCTACCAAGAATCGGCTCAACTATGCAAAAAACCTAACCACTACTTGAAATTTCAAACTTTCTCTACATCACTGTGTGGAGGAAGATGCACAAATCCGTTTAACTTGTAAAAGAACTAACACCCGTAAGTAGCTGAGGACCAGGAGTGCCGCCCAAAGGCTCTTCAACAGTCAAATTAGTAAGAAAATATTTGAGACTCAACTAGTAGGCAAGAGATAATTGTATTGCGATAGATGAACCCTAGAATAGTGTATTTATACTAGTCTAGATAAAGTCATTTTAGGATATAAAATCTATTTTAAACCAGGAAAATCTCAAACGATATCTAGTAGTAGAAATTGCACCCTTTTAGAGTATGATTACTTACGACACATGCCAATGATTATAAGAATTCTAAGAATATAGGAAACTTGACTGATTTCTTATTGAACATGCTTTCGTTGGATTTTGCCCAATGCTCCAGAATAGGGGATTTCGCCCACTACTCCAGAATAGGATAATGATGGCATCGCTGCTCCGTCTGGGAAGCTCCGCTGCAGAAGCTATTAAGTCCATGACCGGACTTCTGAGATATTCATGTTTCAATCTACCTTACTCCGACTCTAGAAAATCATGATCCCACAATTTCAAGAAAATCATGGTCTCACAATTTCACATGACTATGTGTTTCCTGTTCCTTTTGAGAATGGATAGTTATCTTAATATCATGTATTTCGGAATAAGTCAGAATAGCTATCGTTTCTATCTTTATGACGCGTGGATATTCATCCTAGCGAATGTTGCAAAGCACTCGAGACACTCCGAATTCAGGCGAGGATGCCATTGTCAATCATTGATTCATTGGAGTAAATTAGAATACGTGTCGTTTTGATTTATTCCCGCTCGGCTTGCGGACGCCATTGTCAATCATTGCTCCAAATACCCAATCCTTGATCCTGACTGGATACGTGCTGAGAAGGTTCAAAAAGAGGTCCGCTTAGTTCGGACCGAGGAATATTCGAAACCGAACAAGAAGAACGGAGGATATCCAGTGGTGTGCCTCCTAAGTCCACCGTAGGAGTGCCCCACAAGAAGCAAATAACTGGAGGCGAAGGTTCTGGAGCTTTGTTAAGGGGGCTCAAGATTAGGGAAGTAGAGGAAACTTCCTTGATTAGAGAATGGAACTCCATTGATGCCCCGGTGAACCTCGCCAGAATAGCGGACCAACAACCTCGTGCAGATAATAATCGTTATTTACAGGGTAACTCAACCCCACTAAGGCAATAATTGCCCTGACAATTGGGCGATGCATCTCCACCCCAATAAATTAACTGAACAAATAATTTTAAAAAATTATTTTTTAAAAAAGTAATAAAAAAACTTTTATATTTAATTTCAAATAGGATTTTTGACCAATCCTTTTACGTTATGTGTCATTATCAGAAATTACAATTTTGTGGATAGATATTCGATAAGATTTCAATAAGATTTTCAACCAATCATGCTGCGCCACATGACATTATCTACAACCTCATCCTTTTTTATTCTCCATATAAACCTACATCCAACCTAAAGCTCACACACCAAATTCAAAGTCTTTCTCCGAATCCTTTTTGATAGTGTAAAAAATCTTGAGTTCTTACAATACTACAGCATAACATAATTCCCTTCACACCGAAAAGACATCTTGCAGTGGCTGTTATTCAGGTATTATTCTAGTTTTTCTTAATCTCTTTTCATTCCGAAAAGATTGAAATCCTCTCTTTTTATTGAGTTATCTCCATCAAATTGCTCCCCAATAACCCAAAATTTTGAATTTGGCTTACCTAGCATTCAATTTGGATATCTTGACACTCCAAATTTTTCTTGTAATCTTGATGTTTCCTGTTCAGTATGTTCATTTTAAGTGGAATATTTGTAGGTGGGGAAATAGTCACTTCCCTAACATAACATAAATGTAAGGGGGCAATGTAAGGGAGTTTGTTTACTTGGCAATTTCAGATGCTAGCAAGATTAGGTTAAAGTTTCAAATTCGTACCTTGTGTTTCAGAACTCTTTGTCAGCCGCTTTAAAACCAGACTCAAAGTACAACTATAAGGTAGCCGTTCTCAATCTATCTCCTCCCTCGATCGATCGATCGTTTAGGCCGGATTTATAGGCAATTCAAGAAGGGCTTGTGACAGCATAGACAATCGGTCCATGACATATAAAATGAGCAGATCTGCTGAGAAGGATTCAGAACGACTTATTTCATATTTACCATATGCATATGTCGAATTTGGTACTTGCAACATTGTATTGATTTTTTGTTCTCGCATTTTTGTAGCTTCGAAATCGCGTCTGACAACATAGATATACTGACTGTTTTATATATGATTGTTTGTGTATTTATTTTATTATTTGTAAATTGTGTTTCTATTTTTTTATTTTTTTTAAGCTCGTGATGATTATACTAAAATTTGGAAGCTTGATGATTCTCTTTATATTACAATGTATGGAACCAAATACCTTGTTAAATGACGATGAAGGTGATAGAAAAATACCTTTATCATTGCCTTAAACTCAAAATGTAACAACGTCCCGATTAATTAAACGGATTTTGAATTGGGAGGACATTTATGTAATTTCACGAAAAGAGGTTATTTTTATTTTGGAATTGCTTTTGGGACCTTAAATAGTGAGCCGGGTGGGACCCCTTCTCTTTTTGGTTCCCCAGTCTCCCTTCCCCTATGGATGCAACGTGGCAGTCCTCTCTCTTTCCCCCTTTCTTCTCTTTTCTCTCTCCCGGTTATCTTTTGCCTCTCCCCGAAACTCTTTCTCGATCGCTTTTCTCTCCTCTATGGAGGAACTCACACACACACATACATACAAACACCCAGACGACCACCACCACTAGGACCCTTACTTTTCTCGCTCACCCTTCCCTCGATCTCCCCCTCTCTTCCTTGCACGCACTGTAGCACAGTCAATGTGCTTGCATCTCACCGGCGAGTTTTCGACAGTGCAACTAAGGTAAGCCTCTTAGGGCCCATTTAGATCATGTTTTAGGTTTTATTAGGGTACTTTTGAGAACCTTGGTGACATTCGAACGCAGGGACAACTCGGGGAAGCATTCTCCATACTTTCTGAGGACTGCCGTGAGCTTTGCAGGCGACTCTCTCTCAGCCTTCTCCGCCCACCTATTCTACTTGGATGAGGTAGATTCCATTCCCTCGTCCTTTCATCTTCGTTTTGGTTTAATTTTAGGATTGTGTTTCATTTTTTTTATTAATTAATTTTTAACAATTTTGATGTCCACGCATTCCTACTTGTGTTTTTTTGTTTGTGTTTCATTCGGTCCTGATGCGCCAGATGGAGGCCCAATTGCAAATCTGGCCCATGTGCCCATATGTAATAAACCCTAAACATGCTCCGGTGAACTGGACAGAAGAATCGGCTGTTTCAATTCAGGTAACGCTCTCTTTTCTTGTTTCCAATTTCTTTTCATTTTGACTGCCTCAGCTGCATACCCATAATTGTGGTTATAAATTCTCTTGATTCTGTTTTATTATTTCTCGCATTTTATAGATATTGCGGAATGAAACAAATATGGCTTGTTTTTGTTAGGAAGATTAAGTTGTTAGAATCATTTTTGAGTTATGATCCGTGTGTGGTATGCCGTAAAATTTAAAAGTGATGATTTTTCTTACTTATAAATACCGGCATACCTTGTTTGGTTTGTTCCTCTGAATCGCCCAGTGTTGCAGTATTTCTCAAGTGTTGCTATGGAGCCTGAGAATGGCGAAGGTTTTTTTTTTGTTTTTGCTCTTTATTTATTTATCTTCTAACTGTTGGCTCAATTATTTTTAATTTTTTGCAGATATTCTATTTGGGACCTGCAACATTGTTGCTATTATTGGTTCCTGCTTTTTTATAGCTTCTCTTATGAAGAAAGACAAATTGGCCATTTGTAAGTTTTTTGTATAATTAATTGTTTATGTATTAGTTAATTGTATAATTAATTGTATTTTTATGTGCTTATTTTAATTCAATTTTTTTTTTTTGAAGCGAGTGGTGACTATAACAAGATATGGAAACTTGACGATACTCTGTATCTTACCATGAATGGTAGTCGGTCATCGAAAAGATGAAAATCGATACTAAAAATTACCTTGATCGCTGTGAAAAACTGAAAAGCTTTCCTGTCTTTAAAGATGTTGCTCTGAATGGCTTCCAATACTTGAAGAAAATTGCTGGTGATAATAAACGTCCTGATTTCACTAAAGATCAGCTTCGTCATTGGGTGCTTAAGTATCAGAATGCTGCTTCGTTTTTCTGTAGTTTCGTTGATCAGGTATGTTGTTTTTGAGTCATTTATGTTTTATTTGAACTCAAATTTTTATTGATTTTATATTTGTGCTTCAAATTTTTATTGGTATTTTTTTTGCAGACACCTGTTATTTACAGGGTATGAGTAAAAAATGAAAACAATGCACCCGTAGACGTTTCTACTCTTGATGAGAAGGCTAGATTTGATTTTCTCGGATCTAGCATTACACAAGCTAGGAAGTACTTGGTGGAAACTGAGTTTTTCAGAAGGTATCCTTTTTAATCCTTATATATTAATGTATCAAACCTTAAATTTATGTGTTTTTTATTTTTATTTTTTTAATTCATATCTTAAGGTCTGTATTATAGGTGCGAGGAGTTTGAAAAAATGGCAATGTGTCTGTTGGTGACATTTTTGTCCAATTTGCGAAGAACTACTTTGCCAGGGCAATAGTGTCTTGTGCTCTTGTGGACAATTTTTCTGGTGGAGACATTCAAGGTATTTTTCATTTTTTATGTTTTTCAGTTAGCTTATTCACTATGTTTTTGTTAATTTATCTGTTTTTATACAGATTTTGTTCTTGTTTTGTTTTGTTCAGTTAAATGTATTTCTGCTAGTGGGGAATATTTGTCCTTCACATCCAATGTTGCTCAAGTGTACCTGGACTCATATGTAGATTTAGAGATACACAAGGACATAGTGTTGTTGTTGTTTGTATCAATTGAGTCAAAGGATAGAGCATATGCTGTTTTAAAGTTAACTCCGTTTAAGAAATGGGAAACTCTGGCATTTTTTCATCGGTTAGGTGTCTTTCGGAAAGCGTATGTTCATCGTATTGTATTTGCCAAGTTTGGGGATGAAATTAATTCGCTTGCGGACCATACGAAGGATCTGTTCAATTCAAAAACAGGTAGTATTGGGCCGAAATTTGCTGATTTGGGTAAGGTGAAGGAAATTTTCTCTAAGGTGACGCGAGTGAGATGTTTTGGGTTTCCAGCCATTGAATACAAAGGTGTCCAGGTGTCAGGGCTCTTTCCTAGTTCCGACGATGTTGCCATCAAGGAACTGCTTTGTGGCAATTGTGTTGCTGGGTGGGTTTGATTCCTGACTTACAAGTTCAACGGGATCTTTACTATGTTAATAGGGAATTGGGTATTGGTTTAAATCAATATGCTATGTTGAATTATGCCATGCTTGTTAGGTTTTGTGGAGATTGTATAGAGTTTAGATTAGTCACAATAAAACAAAAGTTCAGAGTTTAGGTGCTTACTACACTTACACAATCTCCACACAACCTGACAAGCATGACTTGTTTCAACAGAGCATACTGATTTAAACCCAATACTCAATTCCTATTAACATAGTAAAGATCCCGAGGAACTTGTAACTTAGGAATCAAACCCACCCAGCAACGCGATTGCCACAAAGCAGTTCCTTGATGGGAACACCGTCGGAACCAGGAAAGAGCCTTGACACTCGGACACCTTTGTATTCAATGACTGGAAACCCAAAACATCCCACTAGCCTCACCTTAGAGAAAATTTCCTTCACCTTTCCCAAATCAGCAGACTTCGGCCTAATCCTACCTGTTTTAGAATTGAACAGATCCTTCATATGGTCAGCAAGCAAATTAATGTCATCCTCAAACTTGGCAAATACAATACAATGAACATACGCTTTCCGAAAGACACCCATCCGATGAGAGAAGGCCAAAATTCCGCATTTCTTTAACATAGGAGTTAACTTTAAAACAGCATATGCTCCATCCTTTGACTCAATTGATACAAACAACACCTTGTCCTTGTGCATCTCCATACGAGTCCAGGTACTTTTGAGCAACATTGGATGTGAAAGACAAACATTCTCCACTAGCAGAAATACATTTAACTGAACAAAATCTCTATAAATTAACAAAAACGTGAATAACCTAAATGAAAAATACCTTGAATGTCTGCACCAGACGTTAAGATCTTTGAATTTAAAAAAAAAACACATAAATTTAAGGTTGGATACATTAATAAGGATTAAAAAAGGATACCTTCTGAAAAACTCAGTTTCCACCAAGTACTTCCTAGCTTGTGTAATGCTAGATCTGAGAAAATCAAATCCAGCGTTCTTAGCAAGAGTTGAAACGTCTACGGGTGCGTGTAGTAAGCACCTAAACTCTGAACTTCTGTTGTATTGCACAAGTCGTGACTTCCCTGCTCTGTCTCTTAACCAAACAAGTTTTTAAGTTTTTGTGATTTAGAAATAAAACTGTACTTCTTTTCTTTCTTATTTTTGTGATTTAGAAATAAACTTGTACTTTTCTTAGTTTTTAAGTTTTCAAATGCAAGCCCACTGAAACAAATTTGCATATATAACTAGGACATGAATGAGTGCACCATCATACTGGAGATGAGAGTTCAATTACAGTTGAAGATCGAACAAGCGAGAGCAATGATATGAGACTTTGAATTTCCCTATCTTCAAATGTAAGATTAGTCCCAAAACAACATGGTTTGCCCTTTTTACCTGTCCGCTCTCGAGGAATGTGTGCGTATGAGATGAATGGCAAAGTTAAACAGTGCTTTTTCGAGCTACCAATATCACAGGCCAACCTTAAGCATCACCTTGGTTCTTGTTACTTTTCAAGTTTGAATCATTTCCAATTTGCATACCTGCTTAACTTGTTAAAAGGTAGAGCATCATCTTCAGGGGATTCCGACTTTAAGATCGGCGAGCACAGCGGTCACCTTTTGCCTAGTACTCAGGCGAAACGAGTAAATCATAACTGATGGAAACAAATATTTTCTTAAGGGATGGTGTTACCTCGCTGTTTGATGAAAATAGGCCATGCTCACTTTCAAGGCCAGCAATGCTGCAAGCCAAGAAAAGTTGAATTCGGCATCAATTGGGACTTTCAAGGCCTGCAATGCTGCAAGCCAAGAAAAGTTGAATGGTGCAAGCCGTGCATCTTTTCTTATTTTCCAAGAACGATGATATTTTTGTCTCTCTTTCTTGCAGAACCTAATAAAACAAAAGCCATGAACCTGAATCCTCAGACCATGGTTCACAAAAGCTTCATCAGCAAGCAAAATGTACTTAGAGCAATCCTCAACATATGAAAAATGTTTTCTGAAACAACAGATGTTGTCGTGGCATTAAACATCATGTGACCTAAACATAACTGAAAAATTAGATATTTCAGTTGTTTGTTAAATCATTTCTCCTGGCCCTTATGCGCTACGTCTCCCGGAGAAACCAATTTAATTATCTTATGTAGCATGCAAGAAATCTCGATTGGTGTTGAGCAAAAATTGTCACAAGGGCAAATAATTTACTCAACACAATTTCACTCTCGTTTATCTTTTCAAAAAGATTTCTATTATTTTGAGTTCGACTCATTCTAGACCTATGAGCCTATTAATTACAACCCTTCTTTTGAGAAAGGGATTCCCTTTGTTTCTAGTCTGAAAGAAATGAAATTTGAGGATTGGTGTGTTTATTTGATTTTGCGACCGCACCTAGGTCCAGCCCTAGATTGCTTACGTACCCTTTTGAGGGATCAAGTAACCCTAGTTCTTTTGATTTGGATTTGGGGTTTTTAGTGAGTAAATGACACACTAAAAGGATTTGGGGTTTTGATTTGGATGAATGAACTAGGGATTCGATTTGGTGTTTCGATTTTGCAGTTGCATCTAGAATGTGAGACTAGGCTGCCTACGTATCCTTGATGGAATCAAAACCGGCGTAGTTCTAGATGTAGCTTTGTGCCATTTGGAATTTGGTGCAGCTTTGTGCCATTTGAATTTTGACGCGGCTTTGTGCCTTTGATTTTTTATGCGGCTTCGTGCCACTTGACCACTTGGGAAATTTGACCCATTAATTTTGACGTAACGTATTTCCTTCGAGCTTTGTCATTTGAGATAGTTCTCCTCTACGGAATTTGAAGTGGTTCGAAGCTGTCTCCATGCCCCTTTATTTTACTTTGGATTGCTCGAACACATTGTACCTGCGGCATGCCGTTTCGCTCTTGGCCCAAATTTGGTCTTTTGGTTTTTGAGCGGATGACTAAAAGGAGGGTTTCCATCTTTTAAACCATCACCGTGATTGCTCCATTTCATGCAAACAATCTTGAGTATGCCCAGATACTTTTTCTTCCTCTTTTAAATTTTGGAGGCATCTGGTAGACTGGCACTTGTTGAAAGCAGAATTGTGGTGAGTGCTATCGGATTGCAATAAATCCGTAGCATAACCATTAACCAACAAACATTTGATTTGCTGACTCATAAATCACGGGAAGGAGAGACAATTTGAGTCCCTCATGTTTTTGTTGGATTGTTTACTGTCAGTAGCTGTGTGGAGACGAAGCTGATTTTGAGCCTTCATCTGGATGAACTTGGCATCCAACAACTGCATGAGTTTAGTACCCCAAACACTGCGGATTTTAACACTTAGGAATTTGAAATATGATTTTGAGCAAAGCATGTTATTTTTCTCCACCGTGGACGTTAGAGAAAAGTACACGGCAGCTCTGCTATGGGACCTTTCTCCATCGTGACTGCCTTTTTCCACCAGAGAAACACAAAGGCCTTTTTTCCAACACGATCATCATCTGTCAACTGAACTGAAGGTCTTCCATTTTTGTTTACTGGTGCGAGGCTCATGCATAAATAACTTGTACACGCTTTTGCAAGCTACCAGAATGTGATACATTTCACCTTGCATATAGATATATTTTCTTTGTGATACATTTCAAACTACCAGAATAAATCTTCAAGAATCAGCTGAAGTTCTGAAACTTTTCAGAATGGGGCAATCCTGAGGAGCAACCATTAGGTAAAAAGTATTACATAACTGCACGCCTTTTCAGTTTAAAGTTCAGAATTTCGATTAGGGTGTGATATCCACACACCCCTTTTTACTTCTCACACACCTTTTTAAGTTTCGGCCATTGGATCGGGTGAATTGAAGAAGATCAAAAGGTAGAAATTAAGTTTCGGCCATTGGATCGGGTGAATTGAAGAAGATCAAAGGGTAGAAATTAACAAGGGGTGTGTGAGAAGTAAAAAGGGGTGTGTGGATAACACACGCCTTTTGATTTATATTCTGAATAACTATATTATGTCTTCTGATCATCTTCATTCATTTAGATACATTGAAAGCTAATGCTATTTTACTTCCAATTTGTGGCGTTCTGATCTTTCAAAAGCACAACAACACACATGCAACATTTCTTCAAAAGAGCAAATTCAGGGAAACTATGAGCCAGTCTGATTTTGAGGTAAGTCTTAAAGCCAGCATACCTCATGTTAGTTTCTTCTATCCTCACTTGAGCTCCATATGGAAATATTTTCTTAACGGTTCCTTCCAAAAGTGTTCCTTCCTTAAGGTTTAACAGTTCCTGTAACAGCATATAGCAAACCGATGTCAGTTCTGAAGAAAAATAAGATCATAATTTCTAAAAACAAAAAATGAGAGAACACTCAAAGCAACAAAAGAACATGAATAACTTAAGTGTCAATATCCTAACTGACCCAAGTTTCTTTCTCACTCAATACTAAGTCATTCTTAGCTTCGTCTATTTGAGTAATCTGCACATGCATCCGACAACCCACCTACACCATTAGGAAACATATGCAAGAAGCAGATTAACAAATCAAATTTATGAAACTATATTAGAAGGAAAAAGTTAAACAAAGGTGTTGGTGCCACATTAAGAGGCTGAGTGGGATGAGAATACCCGGCCTACCCTGCCCTGTTGCTGATTCCTAGTCTCAATACTTGTACAAATAGCTTCACCAGAAAGAAGATTTTCAAACTTCAATTTAAAAATCTCACTTAAGTTCAAACACATCACGGACACATTGATTAACTATAATATATGTTCAAAAGATGACAAAAAAATCGACAAATGTGGAATCTTGATGAAAATGATGAAAATTCTAAATGAAAATTCTTGATATTTGTAGAGATATAATTGCCTTGTCCACACTCTTAAGTATCCTCATTGCCTTGACTACACTTTAAGGCTAAAGCACACTCTTTTCATTATGAAACAGTGGCTTTAAGAAAACAGTGTATAATGGATTGTGTCCAGTGTTTCAAGTGCTTCAAGTATACACAAGCAAGCATTGATGTTAATGATATCTGGCTGGTTGGACTATCTAAGTACATAGAATTTCCAATTATTACTCTTATATTTTCATCTCTTAATAATACTGACATCTCAAAGAAATTGCTTCATTTGACGTTGATAGTGTCATAGAAAGAAGTAGTTCCAGTGGATACATGATATCAGTACTGATTGATGGCTTGGACGCATTAACATAAAGCAATTCAAATCATACCGGAGATGTAGCCAAATGAACACCGCATGAAAATATACATACACACACACACACATTCCACAAAACCATCAACTTACATCTCTCTCAATTCAGTGAAGCTGTTCACTTTACTCATTAAGTAAGTTTTTGGAAGGAAAGCTTGGGGACCCTAATGAACCAAACTGTGAAATGGTAGTTTGGAAACAAATACACCTTCACAATTTCACACACAAGACAAAGACACAAACCTCAATTCTTGTAAGAAGGCCTCCAGTATTCCATTCTGTAATTCTAACTTCAGTACGTTCATTGAGTTGTTTTATCTGTACATCATGTCGAAAAGCTTTAGGAAAAATTTGGAATACATTCTCACCCAGCATCACCAGTCAGAGTATCATGAGATAAATGCTACAGTCAACATAGTAGTTGCGAAGAGAAAATCAAGTATCATGAAGTCATGATAATAAAAGACTTAAGAGTTCCGAATTAACAAATAAATATGGTCTAAAAAATAACAGCGACGGCAAGATAATCCGAAAATGCACACAATAAGTCATGCAGCAAGCACAAGGATTCACCATAAAAATTGCCAATGCCATATCCAATGAATAGAAAAGAAACAAAACAAAGTGAGATAAGAACCTGCCTCACTCGATGCCAAGATATTCGCCTGAAGAGCGTCTAGTTGAAAGCAAAGGCCTACCACTGAGCGTTCTTCCAAGGACCTCAACAAACAAAACAGTGCCGGTTTCAACAACTGGCCCTTCCGGCACAGGTCCCCCCATCACAGCTTCATTTTTCACAATCCCCATCTTCCCTCTGACCATAAACTCTTCGGCGTCATAATTCGTATCACATAACAAGTAATCCATCTCTTTGTCATACAAGGCAGCACCTCCTTAGTCCTTAGCATTGTACCCAACAAGTCTGCCCCCACATTCACGTCGAGTTTATTCTCATCAACTGAAACAACAACTTCAACCACAAAATCACCCGGTTTTGGTTCGTAATACTCCACATTAACCTTCTCAGCTCCCTCATTTTCACCATCCAATTCACTTTCTTCCTCAAAAACTCCCACCTCACCTTCCTTCTCTTCCACTCCATCTCCATCCCCACTATCTCTCGGAGCGAAAAACTTCAAGAAAGGCGCCA